AATAATATTGAAATTATTATAATACGGCACAGCTAAAGGGCACAAAATATTTTAACCTATTTACTGTTAAGTAACTGATATTAAATCATAGTCCCTAGGGGTGACAACGCATCTGCATTTTATTTTTTCAACCGACTTCAAAAAAGGGAGAGGTTGGTTCTCTCAATTCGACTGTATTTTTATATTATGTTATCTCAAAACTTTTTTTAGGTGAACCGATTTTGATCATTCTTCTTTTATTTGGAAGCTGGTGCTTTTCATGTGGCCCCATATAAATTTGACCAGTAGTTTTTGAGTTATCTTTATTAATGAGTATTTAATTGACTTTGACTACATTGACCATTGCGTGTTGCCAGTGATGACTTACGGTTCTGAGACGTAATCCTTCACTGCTGGCCGTATGAGGACGCTCAAGGTCGCTCAGCGAGCAATGGAGAGGGCTATGCTCGAAGTTTTTTCTGTGTGATAGACTCAGAAATGAGGATATCCACAGTAAAACCAGAGTGACCGACATAGCCCAACGGATTAGTAAGCTGAAGTGGCAATGGGCCGGCCATATAGCTCGAAGAACCGATAACCGATGAGGAATAAAGGTTCTCGAGTGGCAGCCTCGTACCGGTAGGCGTAGTGTAGGGCGACCCCCCACTAGATGGAATGACGACCGGGTAAGACATGCGGGAAGTCGATGGATGCAGGTGGCTCAGAGCCGTGCTTTGTGGCATTACTTGGGGTAGGCCTATGTTCAGCAGTGGACTTGTGAAGGGCTATAATGAATGAATGAATGAATAAACATTGATGATGTTCTCATTTTATTTATATTGAAGTCGGTTGTACAAAGTTTTTAAATTTACTTGTGATTTTTTAATTATCATAAGTTTTTGACCAGGATCCCATCGGATTGGAAGTAGTGATGCAGCTAAAGATTTCAAATTGCACTGACTTAGCTCAACAAAAGCCTATTTACACTCGCCTTAAAGACACCCTCACAATATAAATATAATTTGAAGCAAATGAACCAAATCAGAGCAATGAACTTTGAAAGCGGAAATATCGCGTGCACTACTCAAATATCATGCTTCCATTGGCACATGCAACTGTCGTAAAGGTTTTCAAGGACGCAAAATACAATTCCAATATTGATGGCACGATATGGCATCTAGTGCTGTGTGCATAAAGCTGTGGTCATACTAGGTGTTGCAAATAATGCACAAAATGTACGTAGATAAAGTATTTATACACTTAATTATTCACTTTATAGCAAGTACAAGTTATAAGCTAAGGTGGCCATTGTATAGAACAAGCTTATGGAAATTTATAGTTGATTGAAAGGTACATTTATAATAATGGAAAAAAATTCATACTGAAAATCGTCACGAGTCTGCTTTAGTGTGTACATAAAAATAGAAAACCTATCAACTAAATTTATCGAAAATAAATTCTAAAAAGAACGTCAGTATGAATAACTAATTAAATAATGTAATAAAATAATATTGTAATTTGGAAAACTAAACAAACACGAATTCATCATGAGCTGCGATGTGATCCCAGTAAGAATGTGATGATCACAGTCATGAATTTATTATATTTTCATCGGTTCTTAATACGTAAGCAAAATTTCAGATAACTCAGACGTCTCAAAATGAATTATTATATATAAGTTATAAAAAAAATTTCTTTATGCACATGCCTTAATCAATGACGGATGATTTCGTCTGGTGGATTCGGCAGCGACGTATTTGCATTCCGTTATTATTTGAAGTAAAAATATAGTCTACCGATAATACTCCATTCGCGTTGGTTTATTATATCGGAATCGATAAATGGAGAATAAACGGGAATCGTTTTGACAACGATAATAAATTACAAGTATGGTAACTAATAGTTCGATTTTCTTCAAGTTGGTCAAAAAATTAGTTTAGAACAGCTCAAAGATACAATAATAGAAAAAGGAACAAAATGATCTTGGTATCTTTCAATAACTTTAGTTTTTCTTTTGTTCAATCCGATCAAACATTCGCTTAAATTAAAATTACGAAATATTTTCGGCTTAGGAACTTGTGTTTACCCTGTAGTGGTGATGAAAGTATATTCACTACCTCGTATCGTGTTGCGAATGGAGGGAAACAATCAGATGGGCAAACGCGTCTTCTTAATTTACACCGAGCGCTTAGCCCCCTAGCTACAGTGGCTCGTAGTTTTTTTTGTGATGAGTAAATTGTAGTGTACCTAAACCCTATTTTTTATACAGTCCACCTGACGGTGAGTGGATGCTGTGGCCCATAGACATTTATCTTCAATTATGAATCAAAATGCAGATGCGTTGTCACCCTTGAAGACTAAGATGGAATGCCTCAATTCCAGTAAAACGGGTCTCCGATTCTCTACACTCACCACACGAAACACAGCAGCATTAAGCTGCTATTTTACGCTGGTATTCTGTGAGAGCGTGGTTCTTCCCCGGTCGAGCCGACCCATTCATGCTACACTCATAATATAGTTGCAGCATATACGGCTCTTGAGGTTCTTACATTGTCAATTCAGCCACTAAACCCACCAATAGTCCACCGCTGAACGTGGGCAATATTTGCCAGTTCCCACGCTTAGCAGGCTCCTGCTTTTTCATTTTGAGATATCAGGAAATGCTCCTGATATATATTTGATAAATAGATATTTGCAGTATACCTACTTATTATTTATGAACTTACAAATTGACCGATCGCTCTCAAATTGGCACGTGTTTTAGTTTCAACCGTTGACCTGAATAAAAACCAAATAAAACTGAGAAAATTGCTTTTAAATGCAAAACGGCCGCGTGCGAGTAAAAACGACATAATTTTGATCGACCGCTCAAAGATCAGTCGAGGTGAATTAGCACAAAGTATCCTTTGCCGACCAATTTGCTGAGTCCTCGACCTGACCGTGGCCCGCAATGGTACCCAGTAATTGGATCCGCCTTGTTTTCTCTCTTGTTTCAATTAAAAGTTTCGGTTCAAGTTGCCAATGCGACTATAATTATTTTGTATAGCTTACTTTACGATTCTCGGAAGACATTTAATTTAATGTAATTAGTTATAAAAATCACTCCGAATGGTGCCTACTAAATATTAAAAGCAAAAAAAAAAATCACTCTGAATGATGGCTGCGAAATATTAAAAGCAGAGCAGGTAGTGCCTGCACTTCAGTGTTTCGATGTGAATTGTATAGAGAGTCCATACAATTCAAAGAGATTTAATGGCTACTACTTAAATGTCTTTGGTATAATTGCAGGCTATGAAATATTCCATCTTAGTCTACAGGGGTGACAACGCATCTGCGTTTTGATTCTTAATCGAGGTTAAATCTAGATGTTTATTGGCCACAGCATCCGCTTACCATCAGGTGGACTGTGTGCTCGTTTGTCATCCTTATTCTATAAAAAATATATTTAAAACAAGGCTAGCTACATTTATGTAAGTTTCGTTTCTAGAGTAATCACTGTCCAATAGGCATTAGCGATCTCGTTGAATACCTGCAACCTAGTTTCGTAAAACCCGGGTGTCATACCGACCGTGCATTGACCCGTTCTGAATAAAAAACACAATAAAAACAAACATTTTAATATATTTTATATGAATTCCTTCTACGACCTTGTCTAAACTTGTCCGTAGGCAATTTGCGAGGGTACATTGACCGCGGACACCAAACTAGTTTGCACTTTCGTGACCCACGTGTCAACAGACAAGTTAGGAAGACTGTCTGTATAAGACTTTCCTCTTCATAATAATATTTTATCCCTGTGATCCTGATCAGGATACTAGGATAAAGTTATTAAATTATTGAACTATCATCGGTCCTTGATTTTCAAGTCAATTGGCCGAAAATTACATTCAAAGATTCCGTTACGTAGATACGCGAAGCTAAAAAAAGCGTGTTTAAAAGAAAAATATCGTTTGATTTTTAATTAGTAAATTACTATTCCAGTACCGTTTAGCAACCGCGTGGCCTAGTGATTTTAGTAGTACTAGTACCCAACTACATCATAAGTCATAACGTAAAAGTCTTAAACTCGAGTCACCGGAGCCAACATTTGTACATTAATAGAAATTAATGGCAAAAATACCATTTATAAGGCAATAAAGGATGGCCTATGTTAAGAGGATATAGTAAGTCAGCTCAAATTCTAATTTCGCCCCCACTTCCCCGCGCGTCGTATGCTATGTACCGACATGTTTGTAATCACTAATACTGTAAGTAAAAAGGTCGTTAGACACTTATTTCATTAGGTTTATCATATTTATGCCTGTTTCTTAACGCCAACCTAGTCGCTTCTTATTTTTATTACGGTTATTTCCCATTTTAATTTTACATCGTCCTGTTGCGTAATGTGTATACTGATCGTAAGCGACACAACCTCCCCCTTCAAAGGCCGAAGCGAAACAGACCGGGCGGGACAGGAATCAAGCTTCAAGAAGCCAATAGTTTAAGTACTTAATTTCTTTTTACAGTGAAAATAATGGTATTAAAAAAAGGAAATAACATAAGCACTGCCTTATAGTTAGTTCAGTTAGTATGCAAAGTTTCATGATCTTATTTAAAGTATTTTATATATTTAATAACAGCGGTTTATTTTGGAGGTAACTTTGGATTTTTTTTCTATCGAGAAAATTTTACGAAATCGTGTTTTCGTCTAATATAAACCTTAACATTAATCCTCAAGTTTACCATATATTTATTTCAAAATTAATGCTGCAATATTTTCGGCATAACGGAGGATCTTGCTAAACTATTTGAGGTTATATTTCTCCTTAAGCAGTGGACTTTGATAAACTGTAATGATTGTGATGATTGTGATAATGACAATGATGGTTTCGTTATTTCAATGTTTTGACCACAGTAGTACCAAGCATTTGTTCCGTGCGGGATTTGTAACCGCGGCTCTGCAGCGCCAACAGAGTTGTGTTCTAAAACATGGAACGTCCGATCATAAACAAGGTGATAAAAGTTGTATTCTGTGGCCGCAGGTACCAAGAAGATGGAGTACAAGACGAGGCAGTGGCACGAGAAGTGCTTCTGCTGCGTAGTGTGCAAGAACCCCATCGGCACCAAGAGCTTCATCCCGCGCGAGCAGGAGATCTACTGCGCCGGCTGCTACGAGGACAAATTCGCCACGCGCTGCGTTAAGTGCAACAAGGTGAGCTCATCTACAACTATGTCACATTAAATAGTTGAAACCTGTTTAACTAAACAGGTTCCAACAGCCCCTACACAACCAACAAAGCGACATCATTTTGTATTGATAATTTTACGTGTCCGAATCAATCATCTTTATATTCATCTCCGCGTCAGTTTAGTGCAGAATAAATAATACCACTAACGTTGTTTAAGTTCCATCTTTCCTGCAGTGTCCTAATTTTTTTTTCATATTTGCGCATTATATGTTATATATTATTATATATATGTGCATTTGAATGTTTACGACATTAATCAATTTGATTTCGAACATGTATTGCATTGTATTGTGTGTAGATGCACAATAACGGACTCGAACTTTTAAAGCACATAGTATATGTGTATAAATTTTAAGGATAGAACAACATTACTTTGAAACAAAAAACCGTCTTAAAGTTTCACGATTGTTTGCAATGTTTACTTTTAAAATGTGAGACTATTAAACAACAACAGCTTGAAATATTTTTTGAATTGAGTTGTAAAGAAGTATTTACCAGACCGAATTCACAATCTCTGTGCCACTTGCTAAAAAACACCGCTAAAATTTTTAAGAGTACTTAATTGTAATTTTAAATAATAATAGATAATAATATATAAAAATAATTAAATAAAAAATATCTACCTTCTTTATTAAATTTGAATTTATTTAACACTTTAATTATTTATATAAATAAATTAAAGTTATACGTGTAAGGTTTAACAAGCATCATTATTCAACATTCTAACTTACTGCTAAATATAGTCTAGTATTTTACCTTCGAATCGCACACATAGCAACACATCCAGTCCACTTGTACTCGTTATTAAGGTGCTACCACACTCGACAGATAATCACGCAAGGCGGCGTTACGTACAAGAACGAGCCGTGGCACCGCGAGTGCTTCACGTGCACGCACTGCAACACTTCTCTAGCCGGCCAGCGCTTCACTTCGCGCGACGAGAAGCCCTACTGTGCGGAGTGCTTCGGTGAACTGTTCGCCAAGCGGTGCACCTCGTGCAGCAAGCCCATCACTGGTGAGTCTAACCCATTCGATTCTTGCAGTTCCGATAGCGAACTATACGAATAACGCTTGCCATTCATCCAGAATTAGCCAATTTGCAATAAAACACGCTGGACATAAATAGGGTTTCATCACTCCTCCAATCCAGCTACCTAAAGACGTAGTAAAAACTATTTTGTCATAAAATTCTGGTTGTAATGATGATTTGTTATTGACTTTGTTTATTGATTATTCGTAACAAATTACAATGTGTTAAAGATTTCTATCTACTTATTATTTCAATCATTCATTAAGGCTTCTCAAAAGTTCCCCTAATAGCCATACGCGTTTTTACGCTTGGTTGGCAGATTGGCCAACATCAGTTTTTAATTCAATGAGAAATTATTAGCAAGATGATGCTGACCATATTCTGTTGCATTTCCCTCTGCCGTTTCTTACGTCACCCACTGGATATTAAGAGATAGTGGGTTCTCTTACTCCGCCACTATACGGCAATCTACCTCAGTTATTTTAAACGCTTCAGTTATTTGATCTATCTTGACCTTTGACTCCGAATTGATTTAATTGTAATTGAATACTATAGGTAACGATTTAGTAAGAAGTAAAACTTAAAAAAATAATCAATGTCCGCAGGTATCGGCGGCACTCGCTTCATCTCATTCGAGGACCGGCACTGGCACAACGACTGCTTCATCTGCGCGCAGTGCAAGACCTCGCTCGTGGGCAAGGGATTCATCACCGACGGACAGGACATCATCTGTCCGGAGTGCGCCAAGCAGAAGCTCATGTAAATACGCACCACTCGCGCGCACCCGCACACTTACGCACCGGACACTACGCATACACTAAAACACAACAATCCTACTTACACTATCAAAATCCAATCCGGAAATTAATTACGATAGATACAATGTACACAACCGGACCGTATCCGGAACATAAACATTTACAAGTAATCGCATGATATATTTATGTGAAACATTCACACAACATTACACACAACATAATATACTAATATACAAATACAAACACAATACACTAATATACAAACACAAACACAATACACTAATGCATATTACACATTTTCCACCGGACCGCATGTCTTACATACGACGAACATTTCTTACATAAATATAATCTAATATCATTAACAATGTTGTTGTAAAATCGTGTCTGTTGAATATTGTTTTCAAAATCTACATATTTTTGATAAGACGCTGTAACAAAAATTAATCACAAATTTCCAAATATTGTCAAAAACACATTGCAACAATTTCAACAGTCATACGGTCCGGATCATAAACGTTTCGATTAGTGTGCGGAGTTCTTAACACTTAATTAACATCACAGAAATATTAAGATATAGAAAACGGTTAATTACAAAAATTGTTACAATTTTTAATTGGCAATATAATATGTAGAAATTTGTTAGTAACAACCATTTTTAGTATGGCTACACTAAAGTCGCCAAGAATCAAAATAGAAAATTCAATACACTATCAATCTAAAAATAGTTTAGATGTTTTAATTGGATAACTATTTAAAGATTAATTAAATTGTAATTATTTTTTAAAACTGGTCAACTGTTTTGAAAATAGTACCATGTTATAAAGTTTAGTATGATTTGGTAGACTTTCGTGTAGACACAAGACACAAACTTACAAGCTGCTTATTGCTTGGTGTGTTGCCTTGCCACAATAAAATACACAATCTGATGATCTTTCTGTGCTTGTGCAGCGACACAACAGTTCTACCGTTAGTCGTTACAGCGAGAAACTGGTGCACACTCGATGAGTAAGGAAAGCCCGGCGAAGCTCTTTCCGACCTTGCGGCCAAAACCAATATCCGCAAAGTCAACCCTAAATAACACGTTGACGATATTTTTATATAAAAAAAGAAAATCACAAAAAAATGTGGATGCACAAATAAAGTATTTAATTTTGCTTTTTTCTACCGAATTTTTTTAAGTTGTTTATATATTTTGGTTGTTTAACTTTTGTTACTAATTTAGAAAACATCCACGGAGTCTGTAATCATAGTCATATAGTAACGAACGCTAATCGCCGTATTATATCGCTTTGGCTGTTGTCTTAGAACTATAGGTATTTTTATATTGTCAATTTGTCTAGTGCAATTCACACGTTGCCTTAATAACATATCTAAGTCAATTTCGAGAATATATATTTTGTTTAATAATCATTATCATAAATAAAAGATTTACAACACCGACGGACAGTCGCGTGGTCTATTTTCATCGTTTATTGCTAGATTTAATCTCCACCCGGAGTGGTGGGGGGTGTGTCATTGATAATGCGTAACATTGTATAACTGTAAGAAATTTTAAACATAGTATGCCTATATTTAAGTATTTATTTTTATGAGAGACGCACTTATTACACAAGGGGTGGTCGGCGGTGTTGCCATGCAAGAGCGCATCAAGTCTTGTAGTGTTGCCATATATACCGCCGGCTGGTAGCTTCCTAACACTAAACCGTTAAGCGACATAACGTCACGTAGTTTTTACTAATGAAATATTAATAAATAAACTATTTTTGTTCTTGAATAAGAATTCGTTACAATAATGTAATTGAATGTTATCGATATTTTTACATTATAATAATATTTTTAGCTTTAGAGATAAGTGAATACCATCTGTGTTTTGAGACGACCACGAAGTGTTTGGGGATCACTTTATAAGGGTTATTTGTTAAGGGTTAAATTATTCAAATGTTGATGAAAGTATATTTATATTAATGTAAACATATAAACTGCTTAGCTGTGTGATCTGATCTAATTAATATTTGTATCTATCTACCCGTAGATTGTATAAATTATGAAACTGAAATAAAACTTAAAAGTAACTGAATTGTGAGTTGTTATTTATTTTTCCCTCCTTTTGATATATAAGACCCTTAAGACTATGGAGTGCAGAAGTAAGGAGTACCAGCTCTCATAGTAGAATAGTTGAAAAAGTGGCCATCTGTGAGCAGTAAATAACAGTTCAAAAACTCTCCACTGGCGCTAGAGTAAGCGCTGGAGTAGCTACTGGGATGAAATGAACTAGCAGTTGTCGACGGTTTGAAGTGTGCTCCTTATGGGTCAGTAGTCCTAAAATCTAAAATAATTTTATTTAGTAAATATAGCCTCGAAATGGTCTTCTATCCCACTAATATTTTTGGCACGTTCTTTAAAATTTAGTCCGTAGCTATAGTGGCGCCACCCTTATTTAACGGTTTTCTATGGACACTTTTTAATACACAGTCTGTACTTCTTACTTCTACACTCCATACTTAAGACAGCACTGACATGTACAAAGTAAGCCACAATTTATAAAAATATTTCTACTAATTGGAATGCTACTAGCAAAGCTTTGATTTTAAATTGCATTGCAGACACCGACACGTCCTAATGAACGCCAGCAATTGTACTAAAATATCAAATATGCGATGGTGAGATTAAGAGTTCAGCTCAGTTACCACTCAAAAAACAAGATCAAAAATTTTGTTTTCTGTATCGACAACCAGAACCGACATTGGTAAAATAGCTACAGTACATAGAAAGTGCGTCCTTAACAATAAAATTCTTAGAAACCTTTATATATATTCACTTGCTCCTGCTCGCCTTTCATAACTCAGTTAAAAATATTTTAGTACTTGCATAAAAGGTACTTAATAATAACTATAATTTGGGTTTGTTCCGAAATACAACGCAGTGTACTGTCCAATACAAATGACGTCATGAATCGACGCTATACTGGTGATTCGTTCCAAAACATTGGACAGTATATGACGTCATACTTTTGCGCCATGTGGAAAATTGTTGGCGATTATTTTGTCATTTTGTGCTCCAAAAATCATTATATCCTCCTAATGGATATACCATCAATTATTCTATAATTTTTTGTATTAGAATAAATAGAAACAAATTCTAGCATGCTTCATTCGGCAAACACACAATTAAAAATAGTTTTATTATGGCCGGATATCCGACACAATATGGCGGCGGCACGCTAGTACAATAAAGCACGGTAATATTATCTATACAGTATTGTAACTCGGCCGTATCTTTGAAATAAATGCCTACAGCCGCGCGGTATGTAAACATGCAATAGGGCTGCCTGCCTCCATCATTTTTACATTTACAACAAATATAATAGGTACTTTGCGAATTTTATAGGAAGTGTTCAATAAAAATGCGTGTCGTTTTTTGATTGGTAGATTTAATTAAAAAACCATGTTTATGATTGAATAACAAATCGGTCTTATGAATTTGCGACCGAAAAATATTTGCGCCTCGGCTGAGACGTACGAAATGCTTTATTATTAAATTTTTAAGTATAAAAAATCCGCATTCTAATATAAAGCTTAATTAAAAATTGTTTTGGGAAACATGGACAAGGTGGAGAAAAGGAATATCTTTTACTTGGATAAAGAGGTATCTATAACCAAGTAAAAGATATTTTACAATTTATTCTTTCTTTATTACTATTCTATTATTTATTTCCTCCATTTTTTTATATATTCCACAAAATCATCACTGCGGCACAGTCACGACTGTCTGCATGCCGAGCGCATGCCGAGATCGAGGCGCGTAGGCATAGCTCTCGCTTCGTCCGTTTGTATGAAGTTGGAATACTGTATAGATAAAATTACCGTGAATAAAGTGTCAAATGATACGTCATTTGCATTGGACAGTACACTGCGTTGTATTTCGGAACATACCCTTTATATGGCACATTTTAGTTTCCAAGATTCTATTTTGCATTATATTCCTTTATTTTTTGCATTTATTTCTAATAAAGAGAAAGTATAGTGATTTTTAGACCATTCAATTTTTTACATACATATAAATAAACTGTCTACAATATCGAAATAACTGCCCTTCATTGAGCTGAGGAGATTATTTACTTGCCATTTACTCTTTGAGCGCCAAAGTTGCCTATACTTGACCAGCACCTGCGGGCCCTGAGCCAGCACCTGCGGGCCCTGAGCGCCAACGACGTCTATAGTTGACAAAAAACCCGGCCCACAAATATATGAAATATAGATACTGCAAAATTATTACTGATATTTTAATTCTACACTCCTCAAAAAAGGATAAACCAGCAACATGTGAGTATAAAAAACAAGTCTCCTAGAACCACAAGTACTAAGAAAGATTAAACTAAAAAAAAGGATTTTTATCTAAGCAAATACGATGTCCAGCACGTCAAAGTCTTCTATGTTTGACCGCTAGTGTTGTAATGCTTTAGGCATAGATTTATTGAAAACTTTTCAAAATTAAACGCAAACGATTTATTTTTTAAATTATTATTGATATTTGAATAAAACAAAAGATAAGAAACATAAAACTATCATCATCTACATATATAAAAGAAAATTTCATCAAATCGACTTCGCATAATAAATCTAATATCTCAACTCTGGCACATCCTTAGCGCGTAATCGATTACGGATTATCAGTTCATTGGGTGCCGTGGTCAAGGATAGACGACACCCTGATGACGTCATAAACGAATAGCGGAAAAAGTAGTGCAGTGCAACATGAACGATTCCTCATAAGTTATAACTCATTCGCATTTTGCAAAGCGTCGATGATGATGATTTTTTTTATTTTAATATAAAATTACAAATAATAAATGTTTATTTCTTTCTTAAGATATGAAGAGCAATTTTTAATTTTGTGTAGTGCGATTTTATTTCTCAATCTCAAAATCATCTGGTAGCATCAGCATCATATCAAACCCCCATTGTCATAAAATAAATACAAGTAAAATATAGAAGTAATTCTTATTGAAAGTCAATATTTTACCTTACCACTGGTTCAAAAAAAACCTCTGTCCTGGGAAGAACCAGCAAGAAACCCAGCGGGACTTTTTTTTAAATAAATTTTAGAATTTCAAGGGTCACAAATATTTACAAAATTTACTTTAAAAACAACTTGGAAGCGACTTTTCGACTTAGAAATCCCCTGGGAATGAGGTGGTTTCATATTATCAACCATGTATTCATTTATATCATAATAACCCTTTTTATACAGTTTTTGTTTAATTAAATATTTAAACTTGGTAATAGAGAGACCTTGTATATTTTCTGGGACTTTGTTGTAATAGCGTATACATTGCCCCAAGAATGAATTACTGACTCTGTGGAGTCGAGAAACTGGTAGCACCAGCTTGTGTTTGTTCCTAGTGTTTACAGAGTGTATGTCACTTTTTTACTAAAACTACCTTTATTTTTGTGAACATAAATCAAATTTTCATAGATATACTGAGAGGCCAAAGTTAATATATTTATTTCTTTAAATTTTTTTTAAGAGTTTCTCTCGGTTTAAGATTGCAAATAGCTCTAATAGCCCTCTTCTGCAAAACAAAAATAGTTCCTAAATCAGCCGCATTCCCCCATAGCAAAATTCCATATGACATTATGCTATGGAAATAACTGAAATAAACTAATCTAGCTGTCTCGACACTAGTGAGATCTCTAATTTTTTTACAGTATAAGCTGCAGAGCTTAGTCTGCTTGCTAGTTTAGATATATGGGGGCTCCACTGAAGCTTAGCGTCGAGAGTGATGCCAAGAAAAACAGAGGACTCAACAGGACTCAGTTCTTCCCCATTTAAAACACATTGGTACTCGAGTTATTAACATTTGTTGTAAATTTAAAACATTTAGTTTTATTGCCGCTTAAATGTAGATTATTAACGTTCGATGCACTAATTTCGACATAGCATTATTCACTTCGTCACATTTAAATGATTGACGTTTGAGTATAGAGCATAAGACCGTAGGTCTTTTCT